GTAGCAAAGAGGTCCCTGAAGCCAGGAGACAGGCCCTCAGTGCTCAAGTATAAAAAGAAAATGAAAACTATTACTTACTACTAACAACTGCTGCTGCTACTACTACTACTACTACTACTACAACTACTACTACGACTACTACGACTGCTACTGTTCTTACTACTTTCTACTGTTACTCTTGCTACTCCTACACTCCTACTACTACTACTACTACTACTACTACTCCTTCTCCTCCTACTGCTACTACTACTACTACTACTACTACTACTACTCCTACTCGTACTACTCCTGCTACTGCTACTACTGCTACTGCTACTGCTACTGCTACTACTATTGCTACTCCTATTCCTCCTGCCGCTCCTCCTCCTCCTCCTCACCCCTCCTACTCCCAATCCTATTCCTACTCCTCCTCCTCCTACTCCTGCTTTTACTGCTAGCTGCTAGAAGGCTAGATCTTCTACGAGTAGCAGTGCTGCTGCCCAGTTGTGTTCGTGGTTAGTCTTCTATTGTGGTGCTGCTGCTACTGTCGGTCTGCTCCCTCAGTGCTGTCATTGCCACCATGCTGCTACCCTTCTTTAGGCTCATATTTTTGCTTCCTGCAAATCTGACGGCCCTGTGCCCACGACAGACCAGGATCGCCGCATTTGTCATGGCCCCCTCTGCTGTCCGATGGTTCGGGGCGAGACGCTGGGCTGACTTGGTTAATTGTTCAGAGCGGGGGATGCAGGGTGCTTCCAGAAGGACCTGTGTTGTGATGAAGGTGTTGTTGTCCGGATCTGGGTTTCAAGCAGTGGTACTTCTGCTTGTTCGTTTGGCACCTTCGCCGTGAATGGTAGATGATTCCCCTGGGCAAGTTCCAGCTGGCGAGCCAAGGCTCAGAAATGTTTCCATTCGCGATGGCCTACCTGCAGGCAGGTCGATACCACATTGTCGACTATGATAGTTGTGCTTTAGTTGCTGCTGCTTGCTCATGATGGCGACGATGGTCATGTTGATACTGACACCGGTGATGTTAGCGATGATGAGGTGCTCATCACCATTGTCAGAGAGATCGTTCTGATGAGCCAAAGGAAGAGGATGACGGTTGGAATGACGATGCTGATGATGTTGATGCTGTGGATGATTGTGATGAGGCAGAGCATCATGGTACTAACGGACGGTGATCGTGTTATGACGACGGCCGCCGATGACTGTGACTATAACGGTCAAGATGATGATGATGATGATGGTGATGAATGCATTGAGCGGGTTGATAGGCTCGCAAGGTTGCATCGTGATCGCGGTGGTGTTTCTTTCTTTTCCTCTCCGACGATTGCGTGTCTGATATTGCATCGCACACAAGGAGGATGATCATGATTTCTATTGACGGACGGATTCTTTGAGGACGCTGCAGCCATCTAACTGTACGAGGATGCGATTTCGAACTACATGTTGTGAGAAGAGGGTTTCTCCCCAGCCAAAGCGCGAGCACCCTGGAAGGTTCGCGCCTTTTTTATGGTCATGGGCCGCGTTTCCTGGCAGTGTCTGAGTGCTCTGCTTTCGGACACCGCTTGCACACCACCAGCATGGCATGTAAACTGTGAGCCTCACCTCTCCCGAACAAGGACGCTGCTGCAGCGGCAGATGGTAGTAGTCCGCTCGCATGATTGCAGCACCAAAAACACCCAGCATGGTGGTCCATTTGTTCACTTGTCGGGGCCCCTTTATTAACCACTGAGGTTCGGGACAGTTGCAATGTTGTTTGCCTGGCGGAGAAAGACTCCGTGACCCCTTTTGTGGCGTCCGTGCCCCTCGGTCAGTTTGGGTTTCCGGGGCACAGGGCCACAGGAGGAGATTGCAATCTGGGGCATCGGCGCTGCAGGGCTTGAGGGTGCGGGCTTTTCTTCCAGGCAAAGGATGGAGGGGAGTTGGAGAGGTGAGGGTTGTTGGGAAGGTCGATGGTATGCGTCGGGTTGTGATGCAGAGTCATGCCCAAGGAGAGCTGAAAAGAGACTACCTCCCGCTTCGTGTGCTGATGAGTGCAATAACATGTTATGAGACCCACCGGCTTTGTGGTTGCTTGCCCCTGCTTCCCAGGATAGCTTTTGTGGCTAATGTGCTTGGCGACCTGCTCCTTTGCCCAAAACATGGTGCCTTTGGAGCTGCTGTTGCCACGGATGTGGCAACGTCTCGTGGTGGCATTTTGAAGTTATGCGCGCGCATTTTGTGACAGGGCGCCAACTTCAGTTGAAAATGCTGCGCAATATCCTTCTGAATTTATCCGTGTCGTCTATCTCTCTATCTACCTATCTATCTATCGATCTGTCGATCTACCGATCTATCTATCGATCTATCGATCTGCCTATCTATCTACCTATCTATTTATCGATCTATCTGTCTGTATATCTATCTATCTCTCAACCTATCTATCTACCGACCTGTCTATCTATCTGTCTGTCTGCCTGCCTGCCTGCCTGCCTGTCTCTCTGTCTATCTGTCTATCTATCTGTTTCTCTATTTATCTACCTATCTACCGCTCTACCTCTCTACCTCTATGTTTCGATGTATCCATCGATCTGTCCGTCTATCTCTCGATCTATCCATCTATCTATCGACCTATCGGTCTATCGATCTATCGATCTATCTATCTATTTGTCGTTCGGTCTATCTATCAATCCATCTATCCATCTATCCCTCTACCCACCTATCCATCTATCCATCTATCTATGTAACTGTCGATGTATCTATCTATCTATTTATCTCTCGATCTATGTATCTATCGATCTATCTATCTAGTCTAAGAATCTACTCTAATCTAATTTAATCTCATCTAATCTTTCTAACCAGAACTTAAGCGCCAAACCCAAAGCGCCGTCCCGAAGCCCTGCATCACTGACATCACTAGACCGCACGGCTGCTCATCCGAGCATACACAGAGGTTTAGGGTTCAGGGTATCCGATTATATAGTATATTATAGTATGCAATAGTATATCCTAGCATATTATATACACAGTCCCTGAATCTGCGAAGGTCCGTGGCTGCAGGTTTCACTTTGCAAAGCTTGCGGAACTCCGGTCTCTGGCCAAAGAAGTTTCCGTGTCCGGGCAGGACACCGGCTCATGGCATTTGAGGGCTTCGGGGGTTTGTGGGGTTTAGGGTTTACGGTTGACATCTCCAGTTTGATGAGGAAGGCGTCATCAGATGAGTTTGCCTTGGAATGTTGTCTCCAACGTGATTGTCTTGGTCTTGAATTACATCTCGTTGTTGTTTTCAGCACCCGTTCTCCCGTCACTGGGTCGTGCCGGGAGGATGCTGCAAAACTTCATGCCTTCGAGGTGCTACGAGCAGACTAGCAAAGGGCTCCAAGGAAAGAGCCGCCATCTGGTCTGAAGTGGGGCTGCGAGTTTACTCTGCAACGAGGTGACCTTCAGAACTCAATGCCTCAAAGATCCCTCTGCAAGAGCATCCTGACCTTCATGGCACTCAAGGAACATTCCTTCTAGCTGGCTATTGGCTGTTGGATGTCTGCGAGACCTCGGAGTGATGTGGTTCCTGACAGGAGAGAAAGCAGGCACTTTGCAAAGTATGCTTTCAACCTCTTTTTAAGCGCCGCAGCCTCAGCTGCCGGGTTGGACACCTGTCTATGCTGCAGGAATTAGATGATTGCTCAAAGTCTCCGTTAAGATTTCTCTGGAAACAGGGGGATTGCTCTCCCTTCATGAACTTCATTCGTGTCCGTGGCCCGCCCATCCACCCCAGCGCAGCCCACCTTATCTCTGAGGAAAGAACTTCCGACACCAAAACCCCAAGCCCTAAACCTCAACCCCGACGCCAAAAGCGCCCACAAAAGGCGGTGGCGCTCCTGATGATCCTGATCTCAGAGACGCGCCTGGCCTCAAAGATGGGTACGACCTCCGGCGCCGCGCACCAGACCGAGGGGTTGTGGTTATAGTAGGGGTCTCGGGTGCTCTGTGAGACCTGTGGTGATTCTGGGGTTTAGGTTGGGGTGCCGGATGGGTGAGTCTTTTTTTGGCTTTGGCACTCAAGAGGGTCCAAAGTCCAACCAAAGCTTGACAGTCTTTGAACAGTCCACGTGAGTCCTAGAGTCCCGGGCTTACACCGCCGGAGCCCTGCCGGGCCGCAGGATTCTCGACGCGATTTGGCGCATTGCTGGCCTCTCGCTGAGTTTGCCGATGGAATGGGCAGGTGGGCGTCTTTCTGCGGTCTTTGCATACGGCTTGTTCCAGCCTCTTTCTTCACCCTACAGGCAACTCACATGCGTCGTGCTTGAAGCCCGGAGCTGCCGCATGCCACTGGACAGGCCAGACCTTTCTGTCCAAAGACCTCACGGGCGCAGAATGGAGACACATTGCCTGCCGGCGGCAGATCGGTGCTTCAAGCCTCGCGCCGGGAACCTGAAGCTAACCCAGAAACACTAAATACGCCCGTACTCGTCATCTTCTCCCTCGTTTCAGTACGACTAAGGCATAATCCGCGTAGGATACCCTCAAAACCTAATTCTGGTTGTCGACACCCTTGCTTGAAGCCCAAGTCCCCGCGACACCTTCAACCATCTGATCTTGAGGCTTCAGTGATTTCGGCTGCGTCGATGTGCTTCTCCATCCTGAGCGCAGGCCATCAGGGCTTTGGGGATCTTTGGGGTGTGGGGTTGGTGCAGTCGAGGCCGAAGGGCTTTGGGGACTTAAGATTCGAGAGTGGTGCAGAAAGGTGTTGGCATCGTGTATCAATGTGAATGCGTATCAGTTGACGATTCTCTCAAGAAGCAGAGTGGGGGGGCATCGGTATTCTTGCTTGGCTTTCACGGTCTAGCCTTGAAGACTTTCGGAATTCGATGGTGTGTATTCATTTTTTCCAACACCCTCCGGATGATTAGGCTTATCATGTCTAGAACATGTACTACAGCGCCGGGGATGGTTCAAAAGACCTGAAGCAAAGGGAACTCTCAAAGCTCTGGCGAGGATGCGTGCTGGCCTTCCTGCGCTTTCGCCTGGGCCTCAGCCTCTCAGATTAGGGTGTAGGGTTTAGGGTTTAGGGTAGTGTTTAGGGTTTAGGGTTTAGGGTTCCTGGGATTTTTTTTGGCCCCGGGGATGTAAAGCCAGCTCTTGGGAGCGAGCGTCTCATCCCCGCTGCGGCGCCGAAGAAGCAAAGGAGGCTGTAAGCTGCAGGGGCTGCAGTGGCTGCAGAGGCTGCAGTGGCTGTGGCTTCACTGTTTCAGTGCCGTGCAGAAGCCATCTGTGAAGCATTTCTGGCCTTGGCTTAGCTCTGATGACCCATCTCAGGTGTGGATATGTTCACGAAAGATCCGCTTGTCCAAGCTGACGTTCTTTACAGCTACATGGCTGCAGCAGTTTCCGAGGTGCTTTCAAACTGTTCCCCGGACGATCGAGAGCGACTCTGCTTTTTCCAGTGCGCTTTTCATGTATATTCGCTGCCGTGGGCCGAGGCACCCCCAGTGTAGCCCTGTGCTCCGGGCTGATTGCCTCTCGTTCGCCAAATTGCGGGGCTTCTTCCGGGATTCGTGGCTGCTCTGTGCACTTCTGCATGCAGGGCTTCAAGGGGGGTGTGGGGTTTTGCTTCGGCTCGGCGCGGCTTCCGCTTCTCGCTGCTGTGGATGTGGGTTTGCCAGGTCTTGAGGAACTTGCATAGCGTCTGGATTGGGTGCAATTCACGGGGAGGCGGTGGAGAAAGCCAAGCTGATGTTCTCGCTGTGTTCTGCAATTACAGTACCTGGCTTGTGGTCAACTTTCTGAGCAGCTCTTTCAAGAAGGCTGGTTTTCCTGTAGTGGTCTTCAGCATGCCGCATCGTTGTGTCGTTACATGCTCCCAGCTGTTATGCTTGGATACCTTCCAGTAAATGCCAGCTGTTTGGAGCATGGCCTTGGGGCCTGGGTTCTGGGTTTCTGAATTTGTCCAGTTCGTTAGATGCCTGCACGGTTCTGAGATCGTGTTCCCTCGAATGCGAACACACCAGCCCGCACTTGAAGCTCCAAGCCCTGAAGCCCGAACAGGTTCTCTCGCAGACCCTGATGAGCTACCTGATCAGTCTCGGCAAGGTTCGCGTAGCAGCAGAGCAAGTAGTTTCTGTTTGTTTGGGTTGAAGGTTTCGGTTCAGGGTTCGTTTGTAGAGTAGGGCTTGGTGTTGAGTTTTGGGATTCGGTGGTTTGGGTACTGTAGGTCCCCGCGGTTTGGGCGGCAACCTAAACCACTGTATCCTAAAGTCGATATCCCTAGAAACATCTAGAAACCATAAGCCCGAAGCCCTAAACCCCTGAACCCTGGTAAACGCTTTTTGTTCTCGCCACTGACGTAAGTTGTCTGGAATCTGGACGAAACCCTGAACCCCGAGAATGCGCTCTGAACCTTGAGTGGTAGTGTCACGATAACCAATAATATAGTAGCCTAAATAATTACCAAGTCTATGGTTAGGGTTCCTTATCATAAACATACTATAAGGGAGCCCAAACCCTGTTCTAATTATCAAGGCCGCTACATGAATCGGTTTTCGGGTTGCCTTGTGGCCAAGTCCCAAGAGCCCATGCTTGAGCCCAAAGCATTCGGAGAACAGACAGGAGTCCAAAGTTGGGAATCCTTGTAGCCCAAGCTCAGCTACACTCCATTGACTAAGATCAGAAAATGCAGGTGAAGTCACCAGGGACCAGCAGGGCAATAACTAAAGGACAAGCCTGAGCCTGAAGCGGAGGTGCATTTCATTCCGATCACGGGTGGGATGCTGGTGGTGCTCTTCACAGCCAGCAGCTACGTGCTGTACCTGAACGGTGCCATGACACGATTTCAGCTTTGAGCGTTTTTTGTGTGCAGGCCAGTGGGGGCGTAACTACAACCGACACGCCACTAGTCGAAGCTTGGAGCCTTCAGTCGTAGGCTTAAACTCCTCCCTTCCCCGAAGATAGCTGTGCCTTGTGGTGGGGCCACGGCTCACTGTTATTATACTGTAGCGGGTTCTCATGACCCACTGCCCCGGAATCGATAAGGCGTGCTCAGCTTGCAGCGTGACTTGGCAGACTATGCTTCGGCTTCGGCTTAGCCGGGTTTCTTGCGAACATTCTCTTCATTGTCACTGTGGTCTTCATCTTCATCCATCATCATGATCGTTGTCATGACCATCACCATTGTCATCATCGTCAGTTTTGCACCCTCAAACCTTTTCAGCTGAGCTTGACGCCACTGCCGCAACAACGCCAAGGCATGTGGGCCCTCAAAGCCGCTCTGCTCTGCTTCGCTGTGCAGGGGGCTTGGCTTTGGCGTAGCAACTCGCAAAACATGCTAGGACGACACCATAAATTGCTACTGCTACTGCTACTGCTACTGCTACTGCTACCTCTACTGCTACTGCTACTGCTACTGCTACTGCTACTGCTACTGCTACTGCTACTGCTACTGCTACTGCTACTGCTACTGCTACTACTACTGCTACTGCTACTACTGCTACTACATGCTACT